TCTGATACTGCTATTTATATGCACATTTTTCACTCTTCCTTTTTCATTGCACTCAGTAGATTTGCTTACTAAGAGTGAGGAAAAGCATAACTGTGGGCATGTTATGCCTAGACTCTCCAGCCTCCATCCTATGCTCACCTTTTCTAGGCACACAACTAGGCAATTTCTTCACAATTTCTTTGCAAGACCTGCCATTTAAATCCCTATTCTGACCTTTAAAACATGTTGTGGGTAAGGACAAGTTGTTACAAGACTATTTATAAGGATTACCACCTCCTAACTCTATGCCTTCAACAGGCCTCTCTGAAAAATAATTGAAGTATGCCTCTCTGGCAGAGTTAGGTACATATGGGAAAGTTTTGTTACCCCCTACGGGTTTTCAGGGATGCACTAACACCACTTAAGGCTTACTTTAGACCTTATTTATAAAAAGGTTAATAACACAAGAAACAAGTTGTGCTCTAGTACACTGAAGCAGCTTGGCAGTCTTCAGACACCTCAGCAGCATAAGTACAGACAAAATAAAGTATACAGCTGCTCGAAGCTAGAATATTTCTCACATGGAAGCACACTATCTCACATACCCAAACAACCTGAATGCCTTTGAAACTCAGCCAACAAAACATGCAACAGTCCAAAGTTATTGTCCACAGGGAGCACATAGCTACTAGCAAGAACATTGCCTCTCCAGCAAGATGTTATTCCTCTGGAACAGGAAAGATTATTGGGTGCAGCCTCACTCCCCTGTATCTAAGCTAAAAGGTTTAGATTTTGCTTTGTCTTGCTTTGCAAATCCTCATTTCAGTTTAGGTTTTCTACTTTGAAATATGTTTGAGCATTCTCCTTCTCTTCTACCACATCCATTGCTTCCTGCACTCACTTTTCCCATTTCTCATGGTTTCCTATAGATGTGAACAAGTTAAGCTCCTGAATAAACTGAAGTTTTAACATCTACTTGCATATCTAAGATCCACTTGTCTTTATGGAAAAAAAGAGGGTTATTCCAGGTCTTCCTCAACTTAGTATTTGAGGAAGATATTTCATCCAATGTCTCCATCATCTTCAGCACTGGTTTACATTCTAACAAGATAGAGTTCAGATCTTTTCAAGTATACGGGAAATAACAAATTTGCATGCTACAAGTCTTATCCATCAGCTCTTGAAAGCTTTTGCATTGCATGCTTAGAATACCTAAGCACAACTGCTCCTCTTCTGTTTGTCCCATTCATTCCACAGCCACACTCCTACAGTTAGAGCAATACTTCATTTTTAAATACTTATGAAGAAATTTTAATCAAGTCCTGGAAGAAGGGTACTACTGCCAAAGTTAATGCAGAATGCCTCACTCAAAGCTTTTAATGAATTTGTCTACCAGTTGTCATTTGTGACATTTTTCAGGGGAAGCCAAACTCAGATGGTCATCTTTGACTTACCATTATTACCCTCTAGAGAGTTGCATGTTTGTATAGGCTGGTGTGAGAGACAATGCTGCTCTTACTAGTTCAAATCAAGAGTTTGATTGAATCAGGAGAAGTCCTTATGGTGTTCCTTCAATCAGAGTTGAAAGTTACATCAATACACTATATTCACCTCCTACACCGCATTGTGGTCAGTGTACTGATGAAGGGAGAGCATGCTTGTCAAGTATGAATCTCTAGTGTATTGAAATTGACTAAAATACTTCCCTGTCATTAAGATGCCTTTGATTTTTATCTCTTTAACACAGTGAGTCATTCCTATCTCCTACTTATTTCACCAATTATTTATGTCTTTTGAAGAAGGAGGTTAACCTTTTAACACTCCCAGAATTTATCCTGGAAGAGAAACTCATCATAGTTTTACATGCTGAGTTAAAAAAACAAGACTAATGCACGAGGGCAGCTAAGGTTTAGAAGTTTTGCTCTGTACAGACACGCATATGAACTGTTCCTCTTTTCAGAATACTTCACACAGCAAACAAGATTTGACATTGACTATCAGTATCTCAAGCCTTTTCACCTCCATTGTCCAAAAAGCTACAATATCCGTATAACTAAAATGCTTGAGTATTTATTGAATACATAAGTATATGCACAACAGTTCCCTTCTTCCCCCTTCACTATTTCACCACCTGCATCCCCACACACACCTTGATCCTGCAGCAGGAATCTGCATTACTTTGTACCCTACAATAGGAAGGTTATTCCAGGAAAAAAAAGAATTGGCAATGTAACATTGTCATGGCCTATTAGGTAATTATATGGATTTATGACTAAAAACCTGCACTAGCAGAGAAATTGAATCCATTCATGAACCTGCTGCATTGCAATATACAGCACAACATTCATCAGCTTGATGTTTGGCTACATTCACACCAGAAGCCAGCACAGTATCTGCATTATAATCCTCAGCTGATGGATTGAGCTAAATGGTTAGTTTTTAATCATTGATTTAGTGACACGACCTTAGATTGCAGCACACGGCTCTTTGAAGAAAGCTTTTTATGATGGACTTTAAGTACAAGCTTTGATCTTGCGGGGAAAAAAAATGCTTTACTATGTTTAAGGGTTTGACTTCAATTCAGAAGCCTTTTTAAAGGCATCAAAATCCATTCAGAGTGCCAGCATCATGTTGCTTGCAGGGAAGTCACATGTAGTGTTACTTACCATAAGATTTAGATCTCTTGAAGAGATCTAAAGCTGTTTGTCTGCACATACCAGAAGATAAAGTTATCTACATGAGCTGTTGAAAGCCAGAAGACAGTTGGGCTAATGAGTTAAGAGGGAATGACTATCACATGCTCAGATACTTCATTACATACTTTAATAAAGTGCTTTAGGGAACATAATAAAATGCTTTAGGGAACATATGCTAGGACTATGTAGAAGCCATCTTCAACCCAGTTCTCTAGAACTAACAACTTATACATAAACCTCATCCTCAGGTATTCAGAATGATTCATTAAGTAAAGAAAGCTGCAGAACACATTTCCAGCTCAATTACATTGGCAGTAGTATCTATGAGGGTTTCATGGTGTTAATAAAATCCCTTTGATTTTATTTTTAACACAAGTCTAAACTATTGCTCTCATACTAGCTGAGCACAGCCCAATCAAATATCACTAGAAATACAATTACTTCTGTTCTTGGTCTCATTTTTCTACTGGAGAAGGGCTCCCAGCCCCTTGGAAAGAGAACAGCCTAAGCCACCAGAGTCAGAAGAATCTGGATTGCAACTCGCAAGATTGTTGTATTTAACTTCATTTTTGAAAGGGAAAGGCTAGTGAGGAAATTCATGTGGAAGCATGTATCAAACTGTAAGACTGGGGAAGCGTTGCCCATTTAGTTTAGTAGGGCACCATCTGCGTAAGGCCTAGAATTGTTATGAATAATATATAAACAGTGACAGGAGAATAACAGAATTACTCTTCACTTTGTTGGCAATATTAGCACAAGCCTCTACAGATTTATCAGCAACTCCAAGATGTGGTAATGGCAATAATCAAGAGTGAAAAAGATGTATTCTAGGTCTTGAAATTAATGCATGGCTATATTATTAGAACTTCCCATAATATAAAATAGTTTGTTACAAGTACAGCTAAGTTTCTGCTTAGCCTGTTGAAACAGGTTGCTTTGGCAGAGCACCAGTCTGCCCGCGTCTCAGAAACCAAGGGCTGAGGAGAAGTTAAACAGAAGTGTGGCAGCCTGCCAAACACCAGGACCCTGATCAGCCTTCTCTCTTATCTTCACAACCCCAGACTTGCTAAATTACAGCCAGAGTGTTGTAGCAGCTTGCACCAATACTGCCAATTGACTGGGGAAAAAAAAGTTGAAAACTGATTTGAGAAGAGAACCTATCAGAAGAGAAACCCTGCCAATATTTCTCTTGCTCTCCAAAACAGCAATTAGAAAATATTTCAGTTTGCCCTACAGCAGAAAGATCTATTTTCTGTTTCAGCATACTGCAGTGAGAAGCAGACTTTTTAGTTTGAGGAATTCTATGTGAAGTGTTTTAAGACCGAGATGCAGCAGCTTTGTGTTACCCTTCCTGTTTCATGAACTTCCACTTAACAGAGAAGAGAGATCACGGAAACAGTAACTACCAGTTGTTACCCTAGTATCCTCCACTAAGTTTTAAAAACAGTAATTGAAGTTAACAGCGTACTTGTTTTCATATCTGAGGAAATATTCTGAAGATGGTAGAAAGGGAAGAGAACTGCAGGTTAATACCCAGGCCACACACAAACCCAGAAATGCTCTGCCAACTTCAGATGATTAACAACTTGAGGATACAGGCTTCTTACAAAACCACAGCAAAATAAATTTTACTGTGTCATTTAAAACCTCAGCATGAGCAGTTAACCAAGATATGTATGCAGTTTGATTCTCTAAGACACATGCTAGAGAACAGTTCTTAGTTATACACAGGAAAGGAATGCTGTGCTGTTTGGGCATGCCAACAGGGCTTTTCACCCTCAGCATGCTCAGAGTATCTTTTTAATACACAAACCCACAATCTGAGCGCAGAGCTAAGTGTGACACAAGTCCCCTTTGCTCACCCCATGCTGCAGGGACACAAGTTACATTGAAATTAAGTGGACGGCTCCAAACAATTAAAGTTTGAGCATGCCTTACATGAGGCCAATGGTAGCTATATGAGCACCTTGAGCCCGTAAGGCATGCCTGCTGAGCACAGCCTGCCTGGAGGGGATATGTATTTCCTCCAAAAGCAACATGGAGCAGGGGCCACAAGCAAGCTAAAGCAGCAAGCAGCTGGAGCAGGGGTCAGACAACTGCTAGCAAGCGGAGCAAAGCACAGCAGCTTTTTGAGGACAGCTGCAACAGCCTGGGACAAGCCAAGAGCCACCAACACCAGCGGGCAGAGGCACCTGTGGGAAGCCAAACCAACCTCCCTGACAGAGGCCTCGCTCTGCTCAAGCCTCAAATTTAGACGGGAGCTGCTGAATGCAGCAGGGAAGGGGAAAAACAAGAAGCCAGGCTTGAGCACACCCCATCCCTCACCTGCGATGTCCCAGAGCTGCAGCCGCACCAGGGTCTTGCTGTCCCAGTTGATGACTTTGAGCGCGAAGTCCACCCCGATGGTGGCCCGGTAGTGCTGGGAGAAGAGCTGGTGCACGTACCGCTTGATGATGCTGGTCTTGCCCACACCCAGCTCCCCGATCACCAGCACCTTGAAGAGGTGCTCCCGGCACTCGGCCACCGGCCCTTCCCCACCGGCCATCCCCGCTGCCTGCCTGGCCTCGGCGCGGCTCTGCTCAGCCCCAAAACTTTCCCGGCCGGGATCTCGCCTCCAGGCAACGCTGCCCGCCGGGCCGGCCCGCGCCGGGCGGCAGAGGGGAGGCCTCAACCACCTGACTGCAGTCACAGGACGCGGAAACTCCGCGCTTATAAATGCCCGGGGAGGGAAGGGGCGGGCGGCGGGGAGGAGCGGCCGGGACGGGCCCCGGGGAGCGGCCGCCAGACCCGGGAGAGGCAGCGGCGGTGGTGGCTGGGGCCGCGGTGCCATAGCCCCGTCTGTCCCTGTCCCTGTCCCGGCCCGGGGCCCCAGCGTCCCGCTCCCAAACTGATCCCGATTCGTTTCGTCCTCGGTCTGGCTGCGGTTCTTCTACGAGCCGCACCAGGCCAAGCAGTACATGGGCACGCACGGCCCTGAAGTCAGCAGCAAGTGGAGTGTCCTACAGAGCGCGTGGTGCCACGTCTGCAGGTTGCTCCTGCTGGGAAAGATCAGCAGCAACAACAAAATAAATAAAATAACAAACAAAACAAAAAGTCGTCTTTGGTAACTTGGAGCCACAGCATCCATCCGAGCCCCAAGGGAGGCAGCTGGGTGGCTCGGTCTCAGTGTCACGGCTGCTCCCCTACACCTGCGGCTGTCCGGGCACCAGTAGGGTTGGGAGCGAGGGGATGTCACCAGCAGGGTAAAAACCCCTGGCAGCTAATCTGGCAAGCAGTCGTCTGTCACGCTGCTTTTATACTGCTTTACTGCGTATGGTGATTCCTTTGCCATGCTTTCAGTTGGTGGCTTGAGTGAGACAAGCCCGGCTTCTTCAGTCAGCCTGGAGCATGCTCACTTCCTTGTCACACAAAGGTGATGCATGGAGTATAAAGGGAAGCAGGTGGAGAGACTGGCAAAGCGAGGCAAAAGAGTTCTTGAGCAAAATTTGTATTTAAACGTTTTGGTCTAAAATTATTAATTTAAGCTGTCATGCTGTATTAACCTGAAGACAATTGCTTTAATTAGAATTTACTTTCCAGCAGCAGCAATAACATCAGAATATAAACCAAGGACAGATTGGTACTCAACAATGAGATTATTATTTATTTTTTATTTTTATTTTTTCTAGTGGAGTGTGGCATGGAGTAGCATCGGTTCTCCGGCAAGAGGTGGGATAGACAAGAAACACAGTCATTAGTTAGGAGGTTGGTAGTGAATGCGGGAGACGTTACTTCAGGTATACACACCTTAACCAGCATGAGTTCTGGTAAACGTCTCTAACTGTATCAAGATTGACCTCTGTGTGCCCAGTTGTTCTCTGTTCAGGTTGGGATTTGGCTGGTTTCTCTCCTTCTGGCAAAATCAAGGTGGGATGGGAGTACATTGTCACATGCTCAGGTGGTGGTGTGGCTGGGGTTTAATATGGTTGCAGAGGCCTAGTTCCTCAGGTTGAGATACACACTTTGTGTCTTCATTCCCTACATGTCAGAGGGTGATTATGGTACTTTCCAACCTTACAGGAGCATTTCATTAATGGATTACTAGGCACACTCTGACATTATGTAGCCCAGGGTGCAGTGCTTGCTTATTCTAATTGCAGGCTTCTGATAATATTAGATAATTTGGTTTTGCATGCATAGATGGGATGGAACTTTAAGGCATTTCCTACCATTTGTTAGGCCTGCCTACTACCGTCTTTGTCTTACATGCCACAGAAATTCATTACTGCCATTATTTTCTTCATTCCTCCTCCTCATTTTGCAAAAGTAAGGGAACATAGATCATATCAGACAACTAAGTGAGCAACTATACTATCATTAAGAAGCTGAATACAAGTACTTCAGTATACTTGAAACTTGATATCAACAGTTCAAAAGAAGCCTGTAGGTTGTTGTTTTTTGTTTCCTTTTTTTCTTTCTTTCTTTTTTTTTTTTTCTCACGTACTGATTTTAAGCAATTAGAACCAACATCAGAAATAAAGAAGTCTGTAAAAGTCATGATCTGCTCACAGAAGACTCACAAACAGAAACAAGGGCAAAATGTGACTGATAATTTTACACAATTAATAGCTTGATCAGTTCTAATTACATTACAGCGTGCCAAACATATAGCAGTAGATCTTGCCTGAACTAGTAATTTGCCTTAATTTCATTATTATTCATTTCATTCAAGCTGGCTGATATCTATGTGGAACAGCTTGGCAAAATCCAGTCATTTGCAGTCCTGTTATTACTGTTCTGCCCCTCTATGGTGCAGTATAATCAACCATGCATGAGGTTATAGAATAAAGTATAATCACCATCTGCCTAGCACAGGGTAGATAATCTTTATTCTGTGAGTTAAATTTTGGTGTCACTTGGTCTTTTGCATGTAATTCTACTTTTTCATTGACTCCACTTTACTAGCTGAATGTCAGCAAAATTCCCCTACTGAACAAGGGTTGTTGGCATCATGGTATGGTAATTGGGATTACATTAAATTATATTGTTGCCTTCAGTTGCCTACACTGGCAGACAAGGTTATTATCGTGCCATTTTCACTAGCTTAGCTAGCTGGTTGCCTTTAAGTAAGGCTTCATATTTCAAATAGCAATTGTAAAAACTGCTTTTTTTTTCTTTCTTTTATTTTTTTTTTCTTCTCTTTTCCATGCACGGAAGATGTCAAAAATGAGGAAGAAGAAACATAAATCTTACAAAACAGGCTTTTGGTATATTCTCAACTTTAACACTGAAGGCCAGTCTGAATAAAAAATAGCTATTTTTTCTACCCTTACTGTTTCCTGAATTAGCCTTCCCATCCACTGAAGTTATTTGCTAAATTATCAGTTTATCCCCATTTCAGAATACTGTCTTCCCAACGCAGTGGGGTTTGAGGAGCTGGATGCACAATGGAAAATTTTTCAGACTTTTAGTAACCTAATGGTCATTACATGATGAATACCAAAGGACTGGTAAAATAAATAGCTTTACTTGTAATAAGACATTTTGGCCTCCTTTTTTTTTTTTTTTTTTTTTTTTGATCCTCAATGTTTTTGTTTTTGTTTGTTTGTTTGTTTGTTTGTTTTTTGTTTTTTTTTTGAATCTCTCTTCCTTCAAGACAGCCTCTTCTAATCTTTCCCAGATATGTTAGTCTATCCTCTACTTGCTCTACAACATCATTTTGCCTTATCAACCTTCTATTTTCATCATACCAACAGTAATTCTTCAATATCTTCCTACTTTGTCTTTGTTGTTGCTGTTTTCTATTTATATTTCCTTTTCCCTTAAATGTTCCCTTAAACCTCACCTCAGTTTAACCCTTTAATTTTTTAATTTTCTGTTTCATGATTTCTCCCTTTCATACTCACCTTCCTGTTCTTCTGAGCTTTTTATTCCCTGAGGTGAATAAGGGCTTCTCCATATTTCTTTGTGTCAGACTGCAGTGCGGAAGGGATAGCAGGTTCAGCCAGCCAGGTCAAGAGAGCTGCAGGAGGTGCTTTATTACCTGAAGTGGAGGGATGCATTTTGATTACTCTCTCCCGTAGTTGCATTAGAAGTGAAATTTGTAGCTGAAGGGGTGGTTAGGAGCTTGAAAAGTGGAAACTTTGGGCATACAGTGCAAGGAAGATTTCTCCATGTCCAGACAAGGAAACACAGCTGCTTGGGTTTGAAGACTGGGCAGACTTGCACATAACATTATAGGTCTCCATGCGCTTCTTTGACCAGGTAGAGCATACTTCCTCTTTTCTGTGTAGATTTCCCAACAGTCATGAGGAAAGGAAAGGAGAGGAGAGGAGAGGAGAGGAGAGGAGAGGAGAGGAGAGGAGAGGAGAGGAGAGGAGAGGAGAGGAGAGGAGAGGAGAGGAGAGGAGAGGAGAGGAGAGGAGAGGAGAGGAGAGGAGAGGAGAGGAGAGGAGAGGAGAGGAGAAGAAAAAAGAAAAAGAATGTGTTGTAAAATAATATTGCTATAAGAGACAGATTGCAGATTGTACTGCCTGGAGCAGTGTAGGTGACAACGTTTTCTTTTAACTGTGCTTTTCTAGGAAAATAACCCAAAGTACTACTCTTAGTGATAGTAACATACAAACAGCAGAAATCAAAAAAAAAAAGGCACACAAAGCTGGGGGTTGGTCAGAAAAATACTGTGTCCAGTAATAATATGGCTAAAGCATACACACAAGAGGATTGAATTGAAGTTTCATGAAAATTACGTATGAGTTTACAATCTACAAACACATAGTTAGGTTTTGTCCACTGAAAATATTCTCCTTCAGTTATCAGAGAGCACCCATGAACATAAAGCTAAGATTATATGTAAGTGTTAGCCTCTCTGGGACTTCACTTCCTGCATGTTAATATGATATACTATCATCTCCTGACCACAAATGTAACTGTATTATGTAGACTTGAACTTGTAATGAGCACACAGCCTACATATATAGGACAATTCTACTTATACTTGAATGATGTGACTGTGGTAACACAGATGCCATATCTCTGTCAGTTGTAGAATGTAGCTTGGATTCCTGCAGGCAAAACTATTATTAGACAATCTTAAATGTATACTGGAAAATCTAGAAGAATAAAAATATTAAGCTTTTGTTAAAACCCATAAAATGAGCTATACGCCGAAGTAACAGATGAGTGCTTTTGTCTGGAAGAGGAAGAGAAACCAGCCACGAGGAAGCCATGTCAAGCACAGTCCTTGGTAAACCTCTGGAGAGAGGCCTGATGGTCTTCCAAAGTGGACAGGATATTCTCATTGAGACCAACTCCTTTGCAATCCGTGCAAATAAATGGTGCAGATCTTGGCCTGCCATGGCAATTGAGTGTGCTTGTTCCCCACTTACAAGCCTCCTGGTAATCAGGTTTTGGGCTATGTTTGTTTTACCATGAAGTCTGCTCTTTGAGACAGCCTTTTGTAATAGTAATTTGCAGTAGTCAGGAGGTGAATGGGTACAGTACTACTGGGGCTCGAAAAGAGACTGAGAGACTGTCTAGTCTTCTTGCTGTGACTGCTTCTGTTGATGTTGGGATAGGCAACAACAAAAATGTTAGTATCTGCTGAAGTTTTCCTTGCCTTCTTTTGGTAAATTTAAGTCAAGGTGGACAACAGAATAAGAGAAACAGATTTTGAATTCTCTCTACTGCATTTTTTTCCTCTTTGCATCCTTTGCTTTCATT